TTCACACAATTCCATATTTACGTGTATGATAATTTGGATATCAGTAATATCATCGGGTCGTGTGCTATTCTACACAATGCATGTAAGTCAAGAGGGGAGATAGGTTTCGATGGTGTGGTTCTTGAGCCTGCTGGTCATGTAGTTGGAGAGCAAGGTGATACATGTGTTATCTGTAACAGTGCCCGCTTGCGCATCTTTAATGCAGCTTTTCCTTAAATTTGCTAAGAACTAAACTTTTTTAAAACAAAACAAACTTATTTTTGAAAAAATGCCAAATATATTTTAGTCGTTGTTTTGAGGTTTATGTTAATCAGGCGAAGGATAAGTGATTTCAAGCACGTCTTACAGAACAGGAGAAACCGTCTGACACTGCCATCAATCGCCATGCGACTGACAGAGGGGATGGAGGCAGTGTTCTTGGGGAAGGTGTTATTGGGAAAGATGTTCTTGCGGAAGGTGTTTTTTGGGAGGGTGCTGTTAAGGACGATGTTGCTGGTGATGGTGTTTTTGGCGTCGGTGTTTGTTGTAGGCGCTGTTGCTGCTGGCAGAGGTACTGTTGAACTGATAGTCATAGGCGTCAGGAATACCATGGACATCAGGGCGGAAGTAGTGGCTGGTGTTGTTGGTGTAATTGTAGTCACCGTTCTCAAACGCATTGTAGCTGGTGGCGTTGTTGTTGCTTGAGCCGAAATCCCATTCATTACCATCAGCAACTGGCGCTAGATATCCAGACTGGCCTGCATCTACTCAGCGATGCGAGACTGCGCCTGGTTCCGTTTCCCCATGGAATCAAACTTCTGATAAAAAAACGTTGTCGAACAAGCAAGATGTCTATTGAACGTTCTACGCTCCGGCTCCCCACGCTCAAAACGACTTGCCTCAATCTCATTCATAGAGGTGACCAGATGCTCGATCGTTCGGTTTACCGCTCTACCTTAACTGGCACCCCCACGAGTCTCACCCTCCCCAGCACCATCGTTTTTAACAGCTCTTACTCCTCTAGCACCGGCAACTTCACCACGATTATCTATCGTCTCTCCAGCAAGAGAGGTATAGACAGTGTGTGGGATTACGGTGGGCATTTGACTGGTGGGGTTCTCTATCGCATCATGGTAAACCCAGTTTTCAATCGGTGCCGTACCCGTTGCATTGAACCTATCATTGCGATGTCTGAAACCAGCACGAAGAGCAGAACAGTTAGACCACGATGCACTCAAAGGTCTTCTTCCCTTGGTGCTGTTGTTGGTGTTAAATGAGTGAAACAAGGCACGGTACAACGCATTTCGTTCGGCTAGCGTACGAGTGAACTTCAACCGGTTGTTCTAAACAGCATACAATTCAATCAGAGCAAAGGCAATGGCTGAATTCCAGTTTGAGCGAGTGTAGCTCGTATCTGAAACTTAATAGTGGCAGCAGCATCCGTGGCATGCCAATCCGTGGCATCAGCAGTGGCATTATCAGTGGCAGTAGCAGGTGCATCAGGAAAACGGGGGCAGTAGCCGGAACGACGACAAAAACCTTTTCTTTTTCTGAAACAGTAGTAGCATACGACGGTTGGTACCATAGCCTGCACCATTAGCTGTCACTTAAATAAATTGGAAATTTATAGGGTTGTTGTTGTTGTTTTGATTGTTCATTTTAGAAACATTAAGGTAAGGAAACAGTAATAAAAATTCTATTTTGTTTTTGGCATTTTAGTAGTCCATTTTAGGACCGTTCATTTCTGTGGGCTTCACATTCGATACCCATAAATTTTTTTAAGCAGTAAATAAATAAAAAAACTTATGGCGACATTATATTTCACAGAATTCAATTTAGAAAACAAATTGATAAGAAAATGTTTTTTAAAAAAACAAATAACAAAAACGTAGCTTGATTATATAAGTACATCTCCTATTTATGATCTCAATATATTTTGTTTGATGTGAGCAGCCTAAATCATAAAAATATGAAATTCTGGTCCGTTATCCGTCAAGATCCAATAGGTTTGCGTACTCTGGTCCGTTATCCCTCAAAATCCGTTGATTTCAGGGTACTCCGGTCCGTTATCCCTGAAAATCCGTTGACTTTAGGGTACTCCGGTCCGTTATCCCTGAAAATCCGTTAACTGTAGGGTACTCCGGTCCGTTATCCCTACAGATCCGATACTTAAGGGTTCCCTGATTACATTAAACTAATGACCAAAATACATTATAAGAAATTAGAAACGGTTCCGAAATGGTTCAAGCATTCTAAACTTGTATGGGGATTATCTGAGCTAATTTCACATCTAAGGTAAGTCGCAAATCATATCAGAACATCCTTAAACGTGCGCTGAATTTCAAAAACGTATAAACAGTGCCCTCCAAACTATGGTAACCGTTTAAGGTTTTCGTATTTTGTGTAATGACATCACATACTGATTCATAGGTAGGCTTTCCAAACATTTTTATTTTTCTGTTTTTTGTTATTATTAAGTTATGGATCCGGCTAACAGCGCTTCATAGGAAATATATAAGCTATTATCACTATTATAAGATGTTAAACCCTTTTTTTTTCATAACCTTTACTGAAACATTTTTATTCTAAACATGTAACCCATTTTTGAGTCTACCACATTTTTCTTTCGTCCAATGCTGCTCCAATGGTGTCATTGCTTTCGAGTCTGGTTCTAGTATTGGTGTATTGAACAGAGCTATAAACAAAATAAATCAAGATAACTTGTTCAATTAGTAGGCCTATGAGGAGTGTATCGGGGCAAGAGCAGAACCGAATAATTATTAGGGTGAGGACAAAAGTAACAGACATTATATATCTATTAGTATTAATACATATATAAAAAGGAATGAAGGTAGAAAAAGGTTTATTCAGAGGAACAGGAAAAATAGATTAGATCTTGAATACAGAAATAAGAATAAATAAACAAGCTGTTATTTATCTTTATTGACAGATTGCGTAAACAAAGGTTGGGGGATCAGATTAACAAAGACAGACTATTAGTCATAGGCCGTTCCCAAGCAAAACTTTTTTTACGTTTTGGGAACAAAAGTATTTAGCTCAAAATAGTAATTTAAACTATAAAAAAACATTTTACCAGCCAAAATTTATGGGGGGTTGGACAATTTACAAATTAGTAATTTATACCCTCGTAGGTGGGGGCTATAAATTACAAAAAGTAAAAACAAGTGTGACATGACTTAAAATAATATTTCTAATTACTAAACTAGCATGTTTTATATACTGGTTGTATATGGGCTACATTGCTATCCTCAGTATACTAAAATTATAAGCTAGTACTTATACTGGGGGACCAAACCTTTTTACAAATCGAGCGATTTGTTTTTGAAAATAAAGTTTGCTTGGGAACGGCCATATTTAGTTTGGGACATCTTTGGGGTAGCGGGAATAAACACAGATAATTTCGCAGATAGATACAGAGGATAACATGAGCTGATATCATTAATGTTTTATAAGGAAGTTCAAAGGCAGAGGTACCAAAGAAACGCATGTTAAATGGTTTTACAAGCACAAGGGACAACGGGGATAAATTATTTGGAACACAGGCGTGAGACAGGATACAATAGTGATGTCTGACAGTGACATGTGTGACAGGAGGCAGAGAACAGAGAACAGGTGGAACAGGTGGAACAGGTGGAAAAGGAACAATGGGCTAGTTGCGTTTCAATAATGGTCTGAGACATTTTGCATGATTATATGCAACTGAAACATAGGCGGTTCATGACAGTCCTCTAACTATCAACCGGCGGGCTGACCGATCGTCTTTCAGTTATCGTCCGGCAGGTTGACCGTTCCTAAATTATTTTTTGACCGGTCGGTTGACTGGTCGATGTTTAATTGCTAAAACGTGGCTGTAGTGTTCGTTATTTCAGAATATATGGAGCTTTTACGAAAACTGCAATAGCAGAAGGTCAATTATTGTGTCCAAGGCCTATTTGGATATTGAGCTGAAAATTTTATGGCTAGAAAAATAAACCCATTTTCAATTATTTTTTACGCAATCTTTGCCATAAACTTAATATAATCATACTCCTGATTATTATTCCGCATAATCACGTGTGCAAGGAATGTCCAAAAAGACAGAAGTTTACTATTTTGGTTGCCATGGAATCTCCTGTAAAGTCTTACCCAACATAATAATTGCCTGTGTTAAAGTTACGCAACTCGTTGTTAAGTATATCACTACAGGTGTCTACTTCTAATGTTGTATTTTGAACGCATTATAATTAATCTGACTAAGTATTTCGATACCATGTCTTATATTCCAAATAATGCGATACGAATCATGTCTCATGGAAAACAATTAATGTAACGTGCCCCTAAGCTTGAACCTGATAAACTTTTTGCTCTTTTTTAATTAAAGTTTTATACCACAAAAAACGTTTTGCTACAGATTTCTGACAGACGAACGATTGTAACATTGATTTGAAACATAAGCAAATAGTTTAAATATTTGGTTATAAAAACGTTTTACTGATAGCTATCAAACATTATTAGTGCTAAAATATTAAAGCGGGGGAGTATAGGGAAAGCCCATCGTTTGAAAGAAACAAAAAGAGCAGACAGTAATTTTGTAACACCCGACTTCGATCTGTAAAACTAGCGGAGTGAAGTTATTATTTTATAAGAGATAAAAAGGGCTGATGATTTATTAACATAAAGTGATGCTATTTATAATAGTGTGTCACGTGTTTACGTAGCATGATAGATCCAATATAAGGCTATACGATGACAACAAAATGCTTTTAATTTAGACATCTCACCCGTCTTTTGAAACGTAAAGCAATGAATGCTTATCGGTTTTTTTTTTACCATTTTGTGCGTATACAATGATCGTGGAATAGACATAAAACAGCTATTTCCGATAGTAAAGTAGCGTCAGTATTTACTATAGCTCTCGGCTACTATTAAAAGAAGAACGCGAAAAAGAAAAGTAGAATAATTCGAAATTTGCACCTACATACAAAAAGTCGCTTTCCGACAGGTACCCGATTGAATCCAAAATGCATATTGAAAGGTGGTGATGGACGTCAAATTTTTTTATCTCTCACTTTATTGCTCGACAACAAACACAAAAAAATCATAAATAACCGAATTAAATAACGTGCATGTTAGTATCAAAAGCGAATGTAAGTACAAGGTAAACCAATCATCTTGTAACAGATAACCAATTATTTTTGTTAGATCCAGAAAACCATGGCCATTTAATTAGTCAATGTTTGAGAATGTCAAACATTCAATTGCCATCCGAAGAAGGTGAGCTCTTTTTTTATCTTAAAAATGTATATATATTAGGATGTACATAATCAGAACAATCTATGGCCTCGCCAATTGAGGAGAAACTAATGGCTGTGCCAAGAAAAAGAATGGCAAAAGAAAACCAAGAGGGTAGCTCTTCTGGCAAGAAAACAAAATCGTACGCCACAAACCCATACGTTGATGACGAGCCCTCGTGTCCAAATGACACTCCAGAATCTGATAGAACCAGTGTGGTCGCACCAGTAGAGGTGCCTACCACCTCTTCAAAGTAGGCCGATGCTATTATCACGCCAACTGTCGCAATTCAACAAAAACATGTCGATTTTAAGCTCTCAACTGCGACTCAAGGCAATCAGACTATTAAAAATACCTACTATGACAGCAACTACCGAGCAAGAAGATATAGACAAGTTTCTGAAAGACATCTTCTTTTACTTTAATGCCGGTCAGACATACAATGTGTTGGGAAAGTGCATCACTTTATCAATTCTTTTATTTTTATTCTTCATTCAAAATTTTATGTCTGGAATTTCTCAGAGGCCATACCTGGCGCATCTTTTTTTGTTATAATATAGCATATTAAAGTAGTAACAAAAGAACATTTGAACTATTCCGAACTTGGGCCGGTACTCAACAAAAAGTATTGATCTGGAAGAT